GCCACATGGCCCTTTCTGGAACCAGTTTGACACCCCTGCTCTATACCATCAACATCTACCAGGACTGGAGATGAGGAAGAGTTCAGGGAAGACACAGAGACAGAAAAAGACCAGGATGAGGGAGAACGGGGAGATGAGCCAGATGAAAGAAGTATGCTTTAGTCTGTTCTGTTGGTGATGTGACTTTTTTCATTGAAAACTCGCGTTTAGAGAATGTTACAAATAAAAGTCAAATTTCATTCAACATGCGTGTATTTTTTTATAATTAAGTGTTCCACGTGCGCTAAAAAGTGCCCCCCCCCCCTCCAGAGTGGCGGAAACGGGCTTCCATTAAATGTTCTGTCATTCTTTTTTCATTAAAAAAAACCGCGTTCATTTAAGCGTAACTTATAATTATTATTATTATAAAAGAACAGAAGTAGGGAAGAAAGCCTTAAGCTACAGTTCCTTGTGTTGTAGAATTTTTTACACTGCAAAAATGATCTAGAAATAAGTAAAGTGTTCTTGAAATAAGATAATTAGATAATATGAACTTTAAATAAGATAATGTAATGGTTGTTTTCTTTTCTTAAATGTAAATTGCCTTGTTCTATTGGCAAAGTATCTCACTTGCCTACTTAACACAAGAAAAAATTTGCTTATTTTAAGAAAAAAATATTTATTAAGATTCAACTTTTTGCAGTTTAAGAAGAAACTGGAAGTTGACTGAGTATTTATCTTTAAATGCTTTTAAGTTGAAAGTGAAAGAATTTGAAGCAGCCTCAATGATCTGTAATTGTTTTACTTGATGTTTTTTTATGTACTTGTCATTTAATTGAATGTATCTCTGTTTATTATGTCACTTTGCTGCCTCTTGGCCAGGACTCCCTTAAAAAAGAGGATTTTAATCACAATGGGATTTTTTCCTGCTTAAAAAAATGTTACAATTATAGTTTTTTTTTGTTTGCATATTAAATATTGTGACAAATGTATTGATAACAAAAAAGGAGCTGTATTTGGTATATTGTTGTTTTCATTATACAGAGTGTTATATCTACAATATCTAATAAATAATTCCATACAGGTAATAGAATGCATAAAAATGACGTAATACGCAGCAGTGCTGTTTTTTATTTCTATATAAATATTATGCTAAAAACCAGATTAGGCTATGATCTGTCACAGATTTAGGTGTTAAGAAGAAAATATGTTTACATTTACTGCTCGTGAAAGTAGCCCAGAAAAGCTGTCGAGCCAGGCAGGCTGCACGTGATTGGTCAAACAAAGCCCAACGTAATCCCAAAACTGAGACATGATTGGTCCTTCAGGAGGAGGCGTTCACCGATTGGCTATTTTGGGTTTATATATTTTCTGACATAGAAGAATCACTGAATCACTGCACAGGGAAAATAAAAAGGAAAAAGCATTTTTTTTAGAACTGAATTTGGCTGTTAAACTGTTAACTGTATTATTAGTTTACGTTTGTGGTCCAACAATTTTGTTGACTTTTCTAACTGCTTTTATTTGCAGGCAATTTCAGCACAATGTCAAAACCAGAGGGACAGAGTCTGCCCTCAGCTGCTGGAATATAAAAGCGTCGTTTTTTTTCCCCGTCTCAAGTTTTCTCTGGATGCTAACTACTAGCCTAGCTAAACATGACGTCAGAACTATTCTCCTTTGAAATTCCGACTTTGTTCCGTATGCAACAGGTGGCTCCGTGGCGCAATGGATAGCGCATTGGACTTCTAGTCAAGCACTTGAGCAGTGATTCAAAGGTTGTGGGTTCGAGTCCCACCGGAGTCGCATTTTTTTCCCGTTAGATTTGCAAACATGTTTTTTTTTTTTCCCCAAGTCCAGCTAGTTTGTTTAATCAGCTACCTACTTTAAACTGAACATCGAAACAACTTTGATAAACTACAACCTTAACAGCTAGATGTTATAAAAAAGCATATATTCCTCTGAACCACTAGATGGAGGCCTTGTGCAGTGAGTCAATCGTCTGGCATCAGTGAAGCTTCAGCTGTAACCATTCATTCCCAACATAAAGAGAGGAGGAAGCAAACAGGCAGATTCAAACGGGAACTGAGAGTTGGAGCAGCTGGAAGTTTTAAGTTCATCGGATCATGGAGGTGCTGAGAACATCTGTAGCCTTTCTGCTGTACTTGGCTTCCTCTGCAGCGGTAAGATACTGGAAATTCCATCCATATTTATTCTGGTAGAATGATAGAAATGAATTTTTTTCTTATTTCAGATGTAGAAATATGATTTAATCTAGACATTTTTTGATTCAAATTTTAGAAGGGTCAGGAAATTTGTTTTTATTCTTACTGTAAAATATAGTATTGATATTTTTCCACAAAAGTTTTCCTGTGACCCTCCTTAAGCTGTGTTCTAGCATGGCTGCATGATGAACAAAGAAGAGAATTTAGTTCCATTACTGTTCCAAGCAAAAAATGTGTTTTGAAAATTTAAAATATCATTTCTGCATTGCATTTATTAAAATTTCATTTTATAAAACGCGTTTTTTTGTTTACAACAATAATGGAAGAAAATTCCCTCCATAATGACCATCTCTATTGAATGAAAATCCATCCGCAGTTTGAGAAAGAAAGAAAAAAATAATTTCAGGTTGGGACGGAATCACTATTAAAAATGTTTTCACTAAATGTTTAAAATTATCAGATTTTTTCCATCTTAATGGACCAAACAACTTTTGGGAACCCAAACCATTGTGCGTCCACCACCATACCCCACTGCTGGTTATCATTTTTGAATCTATTGCAACGTTTTGCTGTGACGGCTTCACTGCTGTGGTTTGGTTCCTGGTCCAGGGACCGTTACGATGTGAGAAGAAGGTTCTCCGTCTGGAAGCGGAGATCCAGGGCCTGATGAGTGTGATCAATGACCAGCACCGCTACATCCAGGAGCTCCAGAGCAGCCAGGCGCAGCAGCTGCAGCACATCCCCAACATGTTCCTGGGCGACAACAACCTTTACAAAGGTCAGTTCCATTCAAAACATATCTAGAGATTTTAACCAGAGTAGGGTGTTTCTGCCAATGCATTGAGGATAACTCACTTATGTTTATTTAATCATATTAACCTCTTTATTTCTTACATTTTTTCTCCTGGTGTTTTTTTTCTTTTGGGAATAAATCATTTCAAGTTATTTGTTATAGATGCTCTGAATAATTGAACATTTCTTAAAATTAAGAAGCTACTATCCTACTGGTTCCGTTTGTTCAGCATTTTAGCTCATTGTTTGGTTCCCTGGGTTCTAGCGTCAAGGTCAGAGGACTAGAGGAAGAGGAAAAGCACTCAGCAGAAGCATCTCTGGCCCGTGTCTTTGTCGTTTGTTTTAAACCTTTTGTAAGAAAGCGTCCTCAAACGCAGCAGTAGAGTAACCCTGGTTGTGTCTGCTCAGACTGCTCAGAGGTGTTTGCAGACGGGAACGTGGCCAGCGGTCTGTACGTCATCCGTCCAGATGGTTCACCCACGGCGCTCAGCGTCTACTGCGATATGAGCAACGGAGGAGGATGGACCGTCTTCCAGAGGAGGAGGGACGGGAAGGAGAGCTTTGACAGGTTTCTTTTGTTACACACAGCCTGAGAAACAAGCCCACATCATCATTCCTCCACTGCCGTGTCTAAGCATGCTCAGACATCCTCACTTCGTTGAGCCGAAACGCTGCTACCATGCTGTTCTTTAGAGAGACAAATCTTTCTACTTTAACTTTTCCAAACAGACACACCGGTTCAAGGTCATGACCTTTGACCTACTAACATTTTATATTCTGGAGCCTCTGAGTTGAAGTACGTTTTGTTTCCGGCGATAGCAGGTTGATCTGCGTTTGTGTTGCAGGACGTGGTTGGAGTATAGCCACGGCTTTGGAGATCTCTTCTCCCCTGAAGGAGAATTCTGGTTGGGAAACGATCCTCTGCACCGCCTCACCTCACAAGGTCTGTCAACACTTTTATTCAAACTGATTAAAAAAAATTTTTTTAGTTTAACAAGCAGCAGACTGAATTCCGTCACTGATTTAGCAGCAATCCCTCACGCCCAACATAACTGTACAGAAATGGCTCCTGTCAGAGGACTAAACAATCCGTTTAGCTGTTTAACCCAGATGACCAAAAAATACACTGAAAAAAAATTAAATCTAAATAAGTCATTTCTTCTTAAAATATGTGCATTTTTTCTTGAATTAAGGATTTAAGTGAGACACTTTGCCAATGGAATAAGACAATTTCACTTAAAATAAGAAAAAACAATTGCATTGTCTTATTTCAAGTGCATTTTATCTAGATACCTTATTTTAAGAGTAAAAGTACTAATTCCATTGGCAAATCATCTTATTTACCTGCTCAAATTAAGGGTAAATACTCTTAATTTAAGAAATCTTTACTCATTTTAAGATCATTTTTGCAGTGCATAAACATAAATGTCCCAGGAAATAAGTCAATGAGAAATTAGTTTATTTTTTTAATACATTAAATACTAAATATACAAAAAAATACATCACTAAATTAATAATTATTCAATTAAATAATAAAAAAACTCTAAGAATTAATCTAAATAAATATAGTCTAAACAATTACAGAATTTATCTACTGTATATTATATTTTCACCTTATGCAATGCTGCTTAAATCTGTTTATTTTGTGTTTTACAATTCCTCCTGCTGTTTAGCACTCAGTTTGAAGGCAGTTCAATAAAGAAATTAAGATGTTATTATTATTTTTGTTGTTTTTATTTTTATGTAGCGACAGTAGGAAGGAAAACTCCCCATGAAACCAAGAAGAGCCTGACCTCTACTGTCCGGTCTCCTGTGCTTTCAGAACTGGAAGTTTATTCAAATACTTTCAAAGTAAAAGCAAAGTAGATTTGAAGCGTTTCGAGCTAGCGTCGATAAACTCCCCGTGAAGCTAGTTTCCTTTCACAAAAAATTGTTATGCTGGAAACTTACACTGAAAAAATGATCTAGAAATAAGTAAAAAATGTCTTAAATCAAGTGTATTTACCCTTAAATTTAGTAGGTAAATGGGATGATTTGCCAATGGAATGAGTATTTTTTTACTCTTTAAATAAGATAATTAGTAAATATGCACCGGTAATAAGACAATGCAGTTGCTTTTTCTTATTTTAAAGATAAATTGTCTTGTTCCATTGGCAAAGTGTCTCACTTACCTCCTCAATTGAACAACAAATGCACTTATTTTAAGAAACAAATGACTTATTTAGATTTCCATTTTTTCAGTGTACATGCACACTCAATTTTACTCCCCACCAAACTCCAATCTGGAATAATCGATAAGTGCTACATAGAAATAAGTCTCTGTATTTGGACTATAAGACTTTTTTAAACGATAATGGAGGTTGGCTGTCCTATGTGGATTTATGCTTACTGTATAATATAAACTGCTCCTATGCTCAGTTTAACACTGTCAGAAACTCCTGCAGCAAACACATGCTGCGCACTATTCTCGAAGGCAGTGCAGGAGACCCCATTTTGCAGGTCTGCAATGAAAGGTCCTGACAGTGCAGGTCTGCAATGAAAGGTCCTGACAGTGCAGATCTGCAGCCAGACTCTCTTGTTGAAACCTGCATGCAGTCATCAACATCCTGCTGAAGGAACCCCATTAGCTTCAACATTTAATAACCTTTAAGGGTTAATTCTTTTTTTTTTATTGAATTAAATGAGGAAGAGAGCTCCAGCAGAACCAGAACCAGAACCAGGCTCCATGTAAACAGCCTTCAGTCAGAACAGGATCAGAGAGAGCACAGAGTTAGTCTCCTTCTCTCCCTGTGTGTGCTGACCTGTTTTCTGGGTTTAATTCTGCAGGAACCTACGATCTGCACATCGACACTGAGGACTTTGACGGCAACCACCGCTTTGCAGAATACAAGAACTTCCGAGTGGACGACGAGAAGGTTGGATATTTATGGAAATGCTGAGAAAAATCCAATCAGTCTAATTTTGAATACAGTGAACGCTCTTTGCACCGTCCTCACAGCCTCTAACCTTGCCTTCTAAATTTCCCAAAACATAGAGTTCTATTTAGACTAGATTTCTTCTTCTGTTACTATAGAAACATCAAGGTCGTCTCCATCCTGCCGTTAATTTCTGTGCACCTGTTCTGTCCATAAAAGCTTGGTTTTCACGGTGGTGCTCAGATCAAATGTAGCTTAGTACAGGTGTGTAATTCGGCATCATGAATACATGGAATATATTGAAATCTACGGAAAGACATTTGGTCCAATATTATGTGCAAAGAACACATTTCAAAAAAGTTAAGTAAAATGAATGTTTTTTAATAACTGAACTGTGAGAAAGTTTTCCTCTTTTTTTTTAAACATTTTTAATTTTCCCAATTTAATTGTTCCCAAAAAATGAATTTAAAATTTTTGTCTAAGGAGAGTTTTTTTCCTTCTTTTTGGTAGACCGAGTTTGAAAAGATATGGATTCCTTTCAAATCCTATTTCACAGATTTCACCCTCTACATCTCAAAGGGGAAAAAAAATAATTCTATTGGAAAATAAAGAATTTTACGGAAGAGGATTAGGGCCACTGGGAAAAAAACAGTTAACTGGTTTTTAAATTTTATTTCAGTTTAGTATGGGGAAAACAGTCAGAATTCCGACTTTTTTCTCAGAATTCTGACAATAAAAAAAAAAAAGCCCGAATTCTGAGATTAAAGTCAGAATTCTGAGAAAAACTGTTTTTAACTGTTTTTTTTTTTTTTTTTTTTTAGTGGCCCTAATTCTCTTCCGTAGAATTCCCTGCAAGGGATTAATAAAGTAATTCTGACCAATAGAAATGCTGTTGCTAACGGCCAAGCAGAGCAGACTCATCTCCTTCCAAAACAAAAAAAATATTTAAATCTTGAAAATTAAAACCAAAAAAAGGGAAAAATAATTTATCAAAAAAATGTTTTTAAAAAATCAAATCTGAAAAAAAAAAGAAATACAGTTGCTAATGTCCAACCAGAACAGAATACCCCCCCCACCCCCCACAAAAAACAAACAAAAATTATTATGAAAAAAAAAAAACAAAACAAACAAAAAAAAATCTGAACAAATATAAAGATATAATACAAAATAGCAAACTGTAAAAATATAAGGTAGAACTTTGGCATATACTAGGCTTGTCCCGATCTGATCCACGTATCGGATCAGGACGCCGATATTGGCAAAAAAATGCGTATCGGCAAAGCATGTAAAATGCCGATCCAGACTGCCGCTCCAGTTTAAAAAAAAAAAAATCTGGTCCATATTTTCCAGTTTCGCCGATTGAAACGATCCATTCCACTATTTTGCGCCAGTGTTCCCCTGTTTTGCATTTTTATTAAAACTTAAAGTAATACTTGCACCTTTAACTGTTTACGGTTTTACTGTTCACTGTGCAATTTCAGATTGCTATTCGTAATTTTGTCCAGTTTGTGTTTATCTCTTAATAAACAGGTAAGTTTGTTGTTACCAAGCATTGTGTTTTATTCAATCTCACCTAATTTAGCTAGCTAGATGTTATCAAGAGTACTAAAACCTTTTTCTACATGAGTCTTACAACTAAGGCTAAATACTTTAACTTAAACTTAAATACATGCTCGGATAGGCTGGTATCGGCCAGTATCGGTATCGGATCGGAAGTCCAAAAACAATATCGGTATCGGATCGGAAGTGCAAAAACCTGGATCGGGACATCTCTAGCATATACATAAATTTCTCTTAAAATTTTTAGAAGTTCTCCAAAATTCACATTTTTAAAACACATTTTATTCTTTGATTTTTTTTTTTTCTCTGCTTTGAATAATACTGGAACAAATGTATCCCCATATTAATTCAGGATTACTCACCTGTTTCCTATAAACTTGCCCAAATTTAGTAATTAAAAATCGAACACGAAACAGATGGAGGCAGCCACTGGTTACCTGAGCTGTAGTAAAATAAAATAAAAATTAAATACCCCCATTAGAGCATCTGACCTTACATCTGAACTGGCTCTTTAGATCATACCAAGTGGCTTTTAACTTTGGATAGAAAAGTTTTCTTACATTTTTATTTCTTCTAACCCTGCCTCTGCAAAAAAATCTGAATCTAGATAAGTAATTTTTACTTAAAATAAGTGCATTTGTTCTTGAATTGAGGAGGTAAAAGAGACATTTTGCCAATTGAACAAGACAATTTACACTTAAAGTAAGAAAACACAATTGCATTGTCTTATTTCAAGTGCATATTATCTAATTATCTTATTTTAAGAGTAAAATTACACATTCCATTGGCAAACTATCAAATTTTTACTTATTTTTGCAGTGAAGGGAGCGGAGGTTTTTATTCCGGGCTTGGAGCACATGTGTTAAAAAAGAAAACTGTGTAAATGTTTTATACACCTTCAAACATTCAAGCTAGTAATGTTTAAAATAAGGTTGCAAAGCTGAGTTTCTATTTGCAAGAATCAACCCAATGCAGACCCAGAACATCCAAAACCATCAGAACAGACATAATAAAACATCTTCTGCTGCTTGAAGAAGATAAAGTGTAGAAACACGGTAAAGAGAAAGAGATTTGACCACGTTTCTTCTCCTTGTAGGACCAGTACCAGTTGCACGTGGGAGACTACGTTGGGAACGCTGGAGACGCTCTGGCTGATGCTCGCAGCCTGAACTTCAACAGCCCCTGCAAAGGAGGGATCAAATTCAGCACCTACGACCATCCCAACTACATCGACAGCGACAGCGGCCGCTGCATGCGGCACAGCAAGTCAGGCTGGTGGTTCTGCAAGTGAGGCTCAGTTCATTCGGGGGCGGAGGGGTCAATGTAAAACCTGGCAGGTACATCTTTCTCCTCCTCCTCTTCCTCACGGCAGGTGTGACTCAGGGAACCTGAAGGGGCAGGGCTTCAAAGGGCCGTTCGAAGCGATGAGCGACGACGGCATGGAGTGGTACGTTTGGCACGGCTGGAGCTACGCCATCAAGTCGGTGGTGATGATGGTGCGGGCCGCCGACCTGGAGAACCCGCCAGCTGTCATCGAGCGTTGGCCTGATCAGTTTCGCCCAAACACGGTGGAGGGCGGCCCGTAGGTCGGAGGACGGGCTTCTTCCTGTTTGTAATAAAAACCAGCCTGCTTCACAGCATCCTGTCGTACGGGTTTTATTCTGAGGCAGAAACAAAGCAGAACGCCGCACAACATGGCGTTCAGGTCGACAGACAGCAGGGAGACGCCGAGACAACAAAACATGGAGGGAAACGATTGACGATGAAGAACAGGTTTAAAAAAATTGATATTAGAGGAATATAGAAATAGAACTTTGGAAAACTTCTCAATTAAAACAAAGGTTTTGAGAGTGATTTATATGTAAGCAAAGGTTTAACCAATATTGTTAAAGTATTTTGAGAATATTGTTTTTATTTTCCATTTTTTTTCCCCCAAAATATAAAAAATTTACATTTGTTTAGGGAGATGCAGTTTTACAAATTGCATTTGTTCAAATCCCATTTTTATAGATTTCACCTCTTACAGTTTAGGGTTGTCAAAACGCAACATCTGGGAGAAAAAAAAAATATTTTGAAAATATTATCTGAAAAAAAAAAACTCAAAAATAAAATCTGAAAAATAGCAAACTGAACTTTTACACATAAATTCTGTCAAAACCTTATTTTGAATGAGAATATTATTTTTTTTTAAACATGTTCTTTGCTTGCAGTAATACTGGAACAGATTTCTCTCCATAGAAAGGGACAAAAACAGATAAATAATTTTTCCAGTTCATTTGGGCACTGGGTGGTGCAGGTGGCGGTGGTGGGAGTCAAACATTTCATGTTAAATAAGCTGCATATTTGGCTCTGACAGGGAGAGGTACCATCTGAGGATTTTTACATTCCACAAAGCGTTTAAAGGTGGAGGAGCTTCCAGAGGGACAGCGGGTTCCACTCAGTCTGTGTTCACATCAGCTTCCTCCTCTGCAGGTCCGACTGATTGAGCTTCGCTCTTTGGGAGAACAAATGAGATCCTTAAAAAAATAATAATAATCCAGGGGAACCCCCTCCCCCCCTCCTCACGTTCCCTTATCTTCCCCCCTTCTCCCGACAGAGGGAGGGGGGGCAAGAAGAGCAGGGAGCTCCTGAAGGATAGTCAGTGGCGATATTTACAGACCCTGAGGAGCGCCTGACGCGTGTCGCAGAGTTTCAGACGTTTGATTGAAACGGACAGAGCGAGGTCGGTCCCACGCTCAGACCGAGCTGCGCTCGCCTCTAAGTTGTCCTTCCAGAACGTTCATAGTGATGTAAAGCACCTTGGGTGGGGTGGGGGCAGTGGGGCTATCTGGGAGATAACGGTGCAGCTGTGGGGAAGGAGGCGGAGTTTCGGGGCGAGCTGTAGGGGGAGGTGGGCGAGAGGCGGCGGGGGCTTCCCAGCAGGTCGCTGTTGTGCAGCTTCCACAGCAGCTCCTCGTTCTCCATGGACAGACGCTTGTTGACCTTGGACTCCTTCTGCAGGGTCTGCTGGAGGATGGCCTGCTCCGTGGACAGCTGCCTGCAGGGGGAGACAGAGAGCAGTCAGAGCAGAACCGGGTCAGACTGCTTCTTTAACAATCGCTACACCTTTGGCTTTAAAATTTTATGGATAAACAATGAATAAACCTCTAAAGTTTAAGCCAAATCCTCAAAATGTTCTTATATTTAAGTGAACCATTTTCCTTTCCATTCCATTTGCCTTCAGATGGGTGTCAGTGAGCAGGTGTTTCACCTGGAGGACCAGAACATTTCCGCATTATTAACTCTTCAATGGTTTCTATGCACAGCTCCACTACTTTCTAAACAAAATGCAGCTCTTTAGTTTCCTGTCTTTCATTACTGGATGAACTGATTAATCCAGGTATGTCTGGCCATGGTTACTGACGTCAGACACACCTGGATTAAATTCAGTAAGTAGTGGAGTCTGTTCTCCTCATCCTTTCAGGTGAAACGTGGCGACTGATGATGTTCCAGCTCATTGAAGTGGGAATAAAGCAGTTTCCTCCCTGCACTCGGCCCGTCTGCTCATGTTGTGTCTCTCGTGAAACATCTTGTTCTCTGAGATAAATGAACGGCAGCGTGAGACAAAAACATCATGCTGCTGCTGCTGCTCTTACTTTGACAGAGCCGCATGTTTGTCCATCCTGGCCTTGTAGTCCTCGTTCTCCTGCTGCACCTTCTTCAGAACCTCCTCCAGCCTCACATTCGTCTCCACCTGAAACGCAAACGGGTCACAGCTATGAGCCGTCAAGAGCAGAGGTCCGCTGGCGGTCTCTAAAGTCCGGACGCTCACCAGTTTGTCCATCTCCATCAGCTTCTTCTCCTTCTGGTGCAGCTGGTTGGTCTTGATCTCCAGCACCACCTTGAGGCTCTCCAGCTCCTGCTCCAGGTACAGGGTGTGTGAATCCTTCTGCAGGGAACAGAAACACAGAAAAGGGAGGCTGTGTTACTGGATAAGTCCAGCAGGGGGCAGTCATCGTTCAGCAGAAGGACATCTATGACCCAAACAGGAAGGATTTATTTTCCCCTTTTGGGCTTACACACATTTCCAGACAAGAATTTTTCTAGTTTTCAGTCAGATTTGGATCTTTTGTATTCCCCTAATTTATTAAAAACAGGAATAAATGAAACCATGAAAAGGTTTATTTTTAATTTGAAAAAATCAGCTAAAATTTTACCATTAAAGCATTAAAACCTTTGAGGAAGGAACAGAGATTCCTCACCTAAAAGTTTAAGATGTATGGAGTGAATCTTCTTACATTATTGTTGTAAATTAAGAACATGATTTGTAAATGAAAATGTGGAAACAAAACTAATACAATTCAAATCCCCCCCAAAATAAAACTTTTTCCTTTTCTCTTTGTTAAAATTTGGCTTCAATTCATTTTATAATTTTTCTTTTTGAGTTTAAGGAATTCTTTTCAAATAACATATAACAGATATTTTTTTCACTACAATGAAGTGAGGAGCGATAACGCATTTCTATTGGTCTGCTAGACGTTAGCAACGACATTTTTATTTGGTTTAAAGTGAGAGAATACGATCTGTGAAAGGCAATATGAAAAAAATCCAATTAATAAAACTGATATACTTTAATGAAAAAATATTTGAAAATATAAAGATTGCAAAAAAACAAATAGTAAAATGTCAAGGATTATTATCATTATTATTTTCATTAAAATATTTCTCAAAGTTTCACTTCTAGAACTGTTTTAATTTTTAAATATCCTTTTACAAACCTGTTCTTTGCTTGTAACAATAAAGGAATAAAATTCACTCCATAAAATAAACCTGAAACCTTCTTTAGCTGAGCTGTTTGGACCCTTCTCTGTATTCCCTCTATGCAGCTGTGTTTACCACGTTTTTGTCGCTCAGTATCCTCTGCCTCCTCTCTTCTTCTGCTCGCAGTTTCTCAATCAGATCCTCGTTTTCGGCCGACAGCGCAGAGACCTTCTCCTGCAGGAGGAGAAATAAAAGATGAAAGTTAATAGAAGTAGCAGAAAGGATGAGACGCTGTTTCTGATCCGTCTCTTAAGGGACACAGTTCTGTCCAACATCTGCAGTAACCTTAACTCTGGTTTATCAAATAAAAAAAAATAAAAAAAACACTCCATGACTAGAGAAACATTTATTAACTACAAAAAAATGGTCAAAAGTCAAACTGAAGAGCAGAGAGGTTAAAGGTCAACGGTTAAACCCTGTTTGTACTAAAAAACTGGATTCTGAACAGGTCTTTTTCTCACTGTGGGGTGAAGGTTAACCTGATAATGCTGAACCCTGATGGTTATCAGGAAAAAAAACTTTCTGATCCGCTTCCTAAGGTGATGAGGATGAATCGACAGGAAGTCAGATAAAGCACAGAGAAAATGTTTTAGATGTAAGTGGAGCTCGTTCAGGCTTGGAGAAAGAGCAGGAATTTCAGCAGATAACAGGAAGGTCCAGTAAACCTTTTACGTTTAATCCAGATTAGGATCCAGACGTTTTTGGAGTCAACTGGATTAGGAAATGCAGTAGATGTAGGAGTTCTCAGATTCGATTCTCTACAGATTCACAGGGGCTAATGTTAAAAGGCTGAGCCAAATATGCTAACCGCTAAGTCACAGAGGAGGGATGCAGATTTCACTAAAAACTTGTTTTACACCAACTTGTGAAATTACCTCTGCTTCCATTTTGACTTTTATCTATAATACGGACCGGGCCAAAAAAATTCTGATTGCTCTACATCTCTGCTACATCTCATCCTACTGTCTTAAGATGAGATCTGTAAATTGGTGAATGCGTTTCTTTGCTTGAAGCCCAGAGGTTTGCTACTGCAAACAAACACATGATTACATAGCAGTGTTTTTTATTAATGCCGATCAGAAACAGACTCCTATAGAACAGTTAGCCCCTGTCCACAGGGTCCAATCCCGATGCAGCGACTCCAACAACATTCTAACCAGCTGCCATAGCGGGTAAGTTTGAAGCTGCCCTATATAATCATTTTCTTCTTTCATTTACTGTATAACTGCCATTGTTCAATTATCTCAGGGATTACATTTCCTTTACATTTCAATACGATTTTTTTAAGTAAACAGGACAGTCAAAAACAGGCTTAAATTGGAAGACAACCGGACCTCTGCTCAGTTTTTTGAAGAGGTTTCAACACCTATCCAGGAGTCTTTGTCAATTCTTTTGGCTTGCACCAGAGCAAATTCTAATTGAAGCACTGATGTATATGGAGGTCCATCCGCCTGCTCACATTCCAAATCAGATGCAAATCAAATAGAATAGCCACCCTTGGACCAATCACAGAGAACATGCACAACAAAAGGCACCAACAATCCAAAACTCCACTGTTCGTGGTGCCATGACCCAGATGGCTGAGACTTTACAAAGGCATAAAGAAGAAGACAGTGAATGAAGACTAACAATTCAACCTCCTTTTTCACATCTAATTTTTTCGGGGTTTTTTTTCAAAACATTCCTTCTGAGGCAGACATATTTGCTGGATTCAAACAGAACACGTCCAACTGACTCAGTTATTTCACAGACCATCTTCATGTCTCCTAATCTGAGCTAGATCTTTGGCCAACCCTCTGATCTGAACAAACCAAAGAGAATTTGATAAAGTAGCCATAACTGGCATGTTTCAGCATGTGACCGGCTGCAGCTCCACCATCCCTTAACACTCATGCACTGACAAACAACAACAATGGCAGATTTGGATGGTTCCTTTCAGGATCTATGCTTTAAAGCTATTAAATATATTAAAGATTTTACTCTCTAGTTGTTCCTTCTTTGTACTTTTTCCCCTTACTTTTTACTTCTTCTTATTAGCGTTGGCAAAACATGTTAAAGGGATGCAAAATTAGTTGTAAGAAGAGGTTTTATTTAGGAAATGTTTATTTTTGATGTCCGGCTTTAAGCTGTTTGGTTTTAGCATTTAAAACAATATTGTCACAGAAACGTTGCTATGCTGTTTGCTAGGTGCTGTAGCGCTAGCCCCATCCAGCCAAAACAGCAACGAGTAACGTTTGAAATGGAAAATATAAAAATAAAAAGAGGTGATGAAGATGAGGATGACCATTGTAGGAAGAGGGGAGAGTTGGCTGAAGAAGCTGCTGCTAGGAGATGCTGACCAGATGGAGAGCAACAGATAGGGTTGCCAACCGTCCCTTGAAAAACTGAATTGTTCCGTATTTAGAAATAGGTATGGAGGATAAAAAGTGCCAAAATTAAATAAATAAATACAGCATTAAATAAATAATTAAATGTGTCAATAATTAATTAAATGTGGAATTAAATAAATAAATGTGTCATTCATTAATTAAAACCACGTCACTAATATAAAGTGCCACAATTAAATAAATAAATACAGCATTAAATAAATAATTAAATGCGTCAATAATTAATTAAATGTGGAATTAAATAAATAAATGTGTCATTCATTAATTAAAACCACGTCACTAATATAAAGTGCCACAATTAAATAAATAAATACAGCATTAAATAAATAATTAAATGCGTCAATAATTAATTAAATGTGGAATTAAATAAATAAATGTGTCATTCATTAATTAAAACCACGTCACTAATATAAAGTGCCACAAT